CGGCCCCGGAGCCCTCGCGCTCCCGCGGCCCCCGCGTTGCAGCCATGTCCAAGGAGCCGCGCGCCGGCCAGGAGGAGATCATGGAGTGCCAGGTGATGTGGGAGCCGGACAGCAAGAAGAACACGCAGATGGACCGCTTCCGGAAGGCCGTGGGCGCCGCCTGCGGCCTGGCGTTGCGTGAGTGCCCGGGGGTCTGGTCCTGCGCTCGGGCTCTCGAGGTGGCCCGGGGTCCCTCTCCCCACCCTGGCGGTTCTCCTGTGCTCCAGGTCCCCGGGGGTGGTCGGAGGACCTCTTGATGGGGGCATTGCTTCTGCGTCGGGGTCCCCTTGGGGTGGCGGGAGGTGCCTCTCTCCATGGGGAGCTGGACCTGCGCTTAGGGTCTCTTGGGCGGTGGCCAGGGCGGAGGGCGGGGGCCGGTTCCCGCTGGGGAGTTGCTCGTGAGCTTGAGGTCCCCGGGCCAGGGACCCTTCTGCCTGCTCTGAGATGACGGGGGTCACCCCTCTGTCAGCGAGCACCCTACTAGTTGGGGCTGGACTCTCGACTTCCAGTTGGTCTCGGGGTTGGCAGAGTAAATGACACACACGGGCGTTCTTTTGAGTTGGTTAACTGGTTTGCCTTTGCTGGCTTCCTCCTGATCCAGTGTCGCCTGCCCCAGGGGCTGCCTTCGGAGGAGGTCCCCGACGGCGGGCCCCCCACCCCATTGACCATGGGGGTCTTCCCTTTCCTTCCTTCCTGGCCAGCCTGCAGGCGCTTCCTCCCACCCAGACACTCTTTCCAACTTGCACTTCCATGCCTGCCACTTGCCAGCTCCCAGAAACATGTGCTGTGCACCCATACCCATACCTAGGAGGATCTTTCTAGAAAGCAAGTCTGGTTTCCCCATCCTGTGAGAAGGATAGCCAGGTAGGAACCTTCTCTTGGGTTTGAGGAAACTCCCCCTTCCCCCTAGATAAACTCCCCGCCCCAAGATACAGCCTCCTTCTAGGCCCCTTGGCCTTAATACCACAGACTGGGGGACTCAGAGTCTTGGACAGAGGAGAGCCCCTTGCTGGGCAGAAGCACTCCCGGGCTGGCCTTTCTAAGCTCTCATGGACCTGTCCCATTGTCTGCTGGGCTACCCCACCCCATGGGGATCCTCAGGGGCCTTGAAGTCTTGGTGGCCTCTTCCATCCTCATGGCTGCATCACCATCCTTAGTCACTGCAGACGAAGACTGGAGTTGTTGATTTGTCAGGGTGTCTCCCTGGGTGAATGCCCCACCCCTAGTTCCTGGGCCTCATGCCTAGCTCCCTGCACACTGGTCCTGGCTACTGACTGGCTTTCTCGCTTCCCGCCTCCCTCCTTCCCCGTCAGGTGTCTGACGTGCTTGGCCAGGATAATTTGGAAGCACAGGTATGATGTTGTCACTCCCCTGCTCAGAGGCTCTCAATGGTTCCTTGTTGGCCACAGGATTGCAAACAGTGCTGCGTGGCAGCTCCTGAGGCCCTCCACTGCCTGGCAGGGCAGCACGGTGTCACGCCCAGTAGAGTGTAAAGGCCGGGGACAAACAGGCTCTGTGCCTGGTGGCTCTGAGTGGCCTCTGGGGAGCCCCTCACCAAGTAGTAGGTAGGAGGAAACACAGACCAAACCCACTACCTCTGAGCCGTTTCCGAGTGGAACTGAGATCCCCTGAGGATTGCCTGCTGGCTGGCAGCTGAACGCTTTGCCCCCGGTGCCATCCGGGCTCCCTAACACTTGGGAAGGAAAGCGGTCAGTGCTCTGGGTTGGGGGAGAATAAGCTTGACCCCGGTGGAGTGGGGACACTGGAAGGGGGTGTGGGCTAAAGTCACCTCAGTTCCTTCTTGGGTTCCTCTGGAAGCGGTGACATGCCCAGTGCCAGCCTCGGCTGATGCCTTGTGAAATAGTTTTAGTGAAGGGCAGCCTGGGTAGGAGGGGGACACCTCCTTCCACCATGGTGGTGGCAGCTGGAGCCTGATGACCTATAGCCTGACCCCGGCTCCCCCTTCCCAGCTGTGTGGTCAGGACACAGGGGTGGACTCTCTGGGTGGGAGGGTGTTGGGGGTGAACTGCACCCATGCTCAGCTCTACACCTTGCTGGGGAAAGTGATGGGGCTGCTCAGTAAATGTTGGCGCACGCTGGCCACTCCAGCTCCCCCCTCCCGCCCCCTCTGTTCCATCCTGGGCCAGATTCCATGTGCAGACTCCGAGATAGGCGCCATGGTACTGACTGCCTGGGTTTAAAAGCTGGAAGAACACAAGTGCACAGTCAGGTTTCCAGCTTCTTGTGAAAACTCCGGGGCCCCTGCCAGCTGTAAGAACCCACTGCTTCTGTCTCTTGTGCAAGCAGGCCTGGTCCCGGGGTACCTGCACTCAACACTGACCCAGGTCAAAGCCTGCCTTCTCCCCCAGGTGCATATGTCTCCTTCACTCTCCCTTCCCCTTGGGGCTCTTCCTGTATTTGTGAAGATTCACGCCCTGCCAGTGCCCAGCACCCAGCATATAACCAGTGTGGGCGGGTGGCCTTGGTAGCACAGCCTGGTCCCGCTTGCCCACATACCCAATTGGGAAGTCTTTCTGCTTGTGAATCCCGAGGGGCCTTGGTGGACCTGGATGATATCTGATGCTCAGTTCCAGACAGATTTGGGGTTTCCCAGACTGCCGTATTACGAGAATGGCAAGGTGGGCCCAGAGACGTGAAGTGAGCTCCTGCTGTTGGAAGAGGGGCTTCGATAGACTTGCTGGGTGCAGGGCGTCCAGGGCCTGCCTTGTGCAGCATCAGTGGAGAGCGGCAAACGGGGCCTGAACGCTTTGTTCCATGAGCAGAGCTTCCATTAGGACGGACCCCAGGCCCCCCAGCCCATGGGCACGGCTGTGGCCTGGAGGAGGTGCTGCTTCCAGCACGCTGTTACTGGAGCAGGATGGACGTACTGTTTTTGAGGATGGTGCCAAGTGTCAACCCCAAGTTGCATGTCACCTGTGAGTGGAAGCAGCTGCTTCCACGGAGGTTGACAGCAGACAGAGGGGTGGGGTGGGGCAGGGTAGGGCCCGGGTCACGGAGTGTGGGCAGGGAGGGAGGGAAGTGCAGGCAGAGATAGTAGATGCCATGCTGGCAGAAGGTGCCAGCTGCGTGTGGCAGAGCGGCAGCTCCTGAGGAATTCACGTGGTCTGGTCTGCGCCAAGAGGCCATGTCTTTTGTGAGATTTGAAGGCAGCGTCGGTGTTGGTGATGGTTGCCTTGGGCTCACTGTGACCCCAAACGTCCATCCTCCTGACCCCTGGTATGCTGGAGCCCGTTGCTGGAGCCATTGAGTGAGCCAGGCTGTGAGGGCTCCGCCGTTCCCTGTGCCAAACCAGACCGAAGGAAGCGGGCCTACTCCTATTACTCCTTAATCTCTATTTTAATACATGAGTTACTTAAAAAAATAATTAGAGTGAATTTTTGGTCATCTACCTAGCAAGTTAAGTTCCCATGTGACAATTTTCATACCAATTGTTCGGTGACATGTGTTAGATTTGTCACACTGTGCCCTCGTTCTCTCTACTTGTTTGTTCCATTCCAGTAGTCCAGTGTCCCAGCTCCCTTATCATCTCCTCTCTGCTTGGAGTAGTTCTTGTCTTGTAGCTCTCACACTCATGCTTTCTAGATAGCATACAGATCTTACAGGAAATGACGTTTATTTTGTGTGCTACGCTGCTGTATCGCTAGAAGGAAGCTCGGGCATAGGCATGTTCTGGGTCTAAAGACCGCCTCAGGGTGGGCACCTCAGGGAGTTGTCCATTCTCTACCGGTTTGCCTGGCTTTTTTCTTTTCTTTTTTTAAATTAGATTTTGACTCCATATTTTTCTTCCAATCTATTTTGAACCAATGATTGCAGCCTTGGCTAGAAGGCTCTGGGCTGGCACCATCTAGTTCTTTGGGTCTCTGAGTTGTGGCTCTTATAGACTTGTTTCTTCTCTTTGCTTCTGGCTGCCTTCTTTCTAATTGTTCTGGCTCTGGAGATGTGTCTCAGATGGTTATTTAAAAGCTGGAGACTTAAGACGATACTCGGTTCACTAGGAGTGTTGATCATTTTTGTGAACTACGTAATGCTAACTGATTGAATCCCAGAAGGCTATGGTCCTAAGCCTTCAGACTCAGAAATCAACATTGGGAGGGGTTTGGCTAGGTCAGAGGGATATCCATCCACATTGGTGTCTTCAGTAAATGTATGCACTTGTGTCTACATTGGTGTATTTGTAGCAACAGAAGATTCAAGCAACAGGCTGCATAGGGAAAATCTGCTATATAAGACTATTTTTTATTTATTTTATTTTAATTTTTCAAAGCGGTAAAAAGCAAAGCTGTCCCTTTGAAGATTAAGGTGTGACTGGCCCAGTATTTTCAACCACCTCATACACTGTAAAAACCGAATAATATATAAGGAAAACTGAAGAAGAACCGATGCATTTGAACGATGGTGTTGGTGAACACTATTGAATAGGTCACAGACTGCCGGAGGAACAAACAAATCTGTCTTGGAAGAAGTGCAATCAGAATGCTCCTTAGAATTGAGGTCGGTGAGACTTGGTGTCACATCTTTTGGACATATCAGGAGAGACGGTCCCGGACAAGTAGTAAGTACATTGTGCTTGGTGTCATCATCGAAAAAGAGGAAGATTTCAGCGAGATGGCTTTACACAGTGGCTGTAGAGTAAGATGGACTCTTATAGAGTAATTGTACGAGACTGGGCAGTGTTTCATTCTGTTGTACACAGTAGCTCTGAGGTGGAATTGACTGGACAGTACCTACCAACAGTGCAGATAATTCTAAAGAGCCTTCTAAGGTGGCACAGTGATTAAGTGCTTGGCTGTTGTCTGAAAGGTTCATGATCCGAATCCAGCAGCTGCTTCATGGGAGGAAGATGTGGTGGGCTGCTTCCATAAGTATTGCAGCCTTAGAAATCCTATGTGACTGTGCAGCTCTGCTCTGTAGGGTCAGTTGAAGTTGAGTTGATGGCAATGAGGGTTTTTTACTAATGCCAAAATGTTCTACCACTGCAAACATAAACTCATTCCCCCACTTCCTCTTTTTTGCCTACATCCCACCCCTGCAACCATTACTAATCTTTGGTTTCTACACATTTGCTTATTCTGTATAGTGAGATAATAGATATCTGTCCAATTTGTGACGGATTTTGCCAGGGTCCATCCACACTGTGTCCTGTATGGCAAGGTCCTCTCATCTCTCTGCGCGGCTGTCATATTGTAGCTCTGTGGACATGTCTCAGGGTGTGTACCCTCCATCTGTTGATGGACATTTCGGTGTGTCCAGGAGCAGTCCGGCAGGGAACACTGGTGCACGGCTGTCTGCTTGTGTACCTGCCGACCTGGCAGTGGGCCTGCTGGGTCCTAGGGGGTGATGGGCTGATTCATCTCCCCAGAGCCTGTGCTCACAATCCCATTTGGAATGGGCTGTCTTTGTGGTGTGTCTGAGGCAGGGTTTGTATAGGGTCTGCCTGGTGCTACAGTGGCACGGAGGTTAAGCACCCAGCTGCTAACCAAGGGGGGTGTGGTGTGAACCTATTGGCCACTCCGAGGGAGAAAGAGGGACTTGCTTCTGTATAGATTGGCAGCCTTGGAAACCCTGTGGGACAGAGTTCTATTCTTGTCTTAGAGGGTCACTGTGAGTCGGAATCAGCTTGAGTGCAGTGGGTTTGGTTTTAGTTGGTGTCTTGAGTTAATCTCTTTTGAGATACAAAGATGGTTACAGAAGCAGAGATGGGAAGAGAGATGTCAGGGCACATGGAGCGCAGAAGAGACCAGGGCCTTCTTCCAGAGTCCACAGAGAAAGCCTTCCCCTCGAGTCTGTACCAAGAGTTTGGATTTCTGGCCCCCTAAGCTGTGAGACTGGGAGAAGATGGGCTGTGTACCCCCGTAAAGAGTTCTGGTCCTGGAAACCCATAAGGGCAGTTCTCCCCTGTCCTTGTAATGGACTGGATGGCCGTGAGCTCGATCGTTAGGGAAGCTGAGGGCGCATACTTGTGTTTGTTGCGTGGTGCTTCAGTTTCAGCAGCACTGGGTGACTGAGACAGGTGAAGCTTTTGTTCACCTTTAGGAGAAAACTGCAGTATCTTTTAAGACCGGCCTGGGGGTGGGGGCGTGCACCCAGTCATTTGCACAGTATCTTATTGGTGACCCAGGTCAGCTTTGCTCGGGGTGGAGAGGGCTGCCCAGTGCAGGTGAGGATCACTGGGGGCACAGGAGGTAGACCTCTGGGAAGCTGGTGGCAGGGAAGGCCACCAGTCCAGAATTTCATTAAGCCACAGGGTCCTAGAGCCCTGTGCCCGCACACAACATTGCTGTCCATTGTCGTCCCAGAGCCTGGCCCTGTGCTCCTGCGCTCTGGGTGGGTGTGCTTCTGGGTAAGGCCAGGTGACTGAGCCGAGACTAAAGAGTACAGACCTGCAGTAGGAGTGGGGAGCAGTGGGGCCTGTCTGACCAGCCCACGTTCCCAGGGCAGATCTGGGAGGGAACCGCACTACTGGCACCACCCAGTCATTATTGCTTCGTGGGTGTTTCTGTGGATGGGTGAGCTCAGGCTCAGCAAAACGAGGGTGGCTTTCCATGTGCCTCTCACCGTTCTGAGCGCTCTGCGGGCTCTGCTCAATCAGTCCTCCGGAGAGGCCCCCTAGTGGTGCAGCACCAAGGAAGAGAAGGCTGCCCGTTGGCTTCTGGAAATGGTTGCAGACAAGTCGACCTTCTGTGTGACATGCAGGGCAACCGTGAGTCATGTTCACTTTTTGGCCCTCTTCATTGGGCACCATTATCCAGGAGATGCCATCTAGTTTGCCCCTTACTATCTGGTCTTCTTTTCTTGGTGATAGTGAGGTGCCCCTTTCTGCCTCTGGGATGACTCACTTGAAGCCAGGCAGCATGGAAAAACTGACCAGTGCCCTCATTAGAGTTTCTTACACTGGATTTGCATGGGCCATCCCACGAGGGCCATACTCTTTATTTGCCTTACTAGCAAACTGCCCAATCCCCTTGGTAGGCCATGCACCGTATTTGCAAGTTTCCACCCATTCATTTGGCGGGAGTTAGGAGAGCATTGTGAGAAAGGCCAGAGCAGAGCAAGCCCATGCGCCTCACCCACGGCTCTTCTTTAGTAGCCATTGGACAGGAAATCCTGCTTCTCTCTTTTAACAGCCACGTAGTTCTCCACGATATGAACACACAGTGGATTTCATCAGAATGCTCTTTTAGGATCCTTAGGCTACTTTCAATTTTCTGCTAAAAAACCAGGCTCAACTGTATTTTCAAACAGCACGCGCAGGCACCAGAAACCTTCCCATTGTAACCTCTGCCTGTTGGCATCTGTTGAATTACTGGTTTTGTAAGCATCCGTGGTTTAGTAGTTGTAGACTCTTAAGATCAGTTTTGTGCAAAGCCCTGTTCTAAGCACTTTATACACATGTTCATTTAAGTCATTACCACAGCTCTGTGGAGGGGTACTGTTCACCCACGCCCCATTTTCCAGATGGGGAAACTGAGACACAGTGAGCCTGAGGTCATACAGTTAATATACAGCTGCAGATGTGCTGGCTCCCGAGTCCAGGCCCCAAGGCAGTGTGTGAGGTGTGAAGCCACTACTTTGTGGCCTTGTTCTTTCCGTGGCTTGGCTCTGGTCAAGGTGGTAGGCTTGCTTCAGTGTAAGTTAGGATCAGTTTACACCCACCCCTGCCCTTAGCAGGATGACTCGTCACCCCTGGTCTTTGAACCACTCAAACACACGTGCAGCTGGAGTCCCGGTGGTGTGGAGAAAGAAAGGCTGTGTTCTCCGGGAGAGCTGCACAGCCTCCGGAGCCCTTCCTGGAGTCGCTTGGTTGTGGAATCCACTAGGTGGCAGTGAGCTTGGGCGTAAGGTTTATCTAGAGTCCTGGGGGCAGTGGTTAACGACTCTTGACCATTAACCAAAAGATGAGTTCTGCAGAGAAAGGGCTGGTTACCTGCTCTCACAGATGACAGCCAGGAAGCACCATGGGGCAGTGCTGCCCGGTCATGGGGTGGCAGAGATCGCAGTCAGCTGGACAGCAGATGACAACAGCACAGGTTTATCTGAGCTACGTGTCCTTTTTAAATTTTTTATTTAGAAAACTACGATGACTTATACCACTGGTCAGTGAAGTCATACTCGGACTTCTGGGCAGAGTTCTGGAAGTTCAGTGGCATTGTCTTCTCCCGCATGTACGATGAGGTGAGTAGAAGTTTTGCCAACGCTTCAGTTTTAAATGGTTGTGCTTCAAAATAAAGTGTCATATTGGGGACAGCCTGAATCATATCTCCTTTCAAAACATCACATCCATGGGGCGAAAAGCCATTGCCTTAGAGAATCAGCTTTAGATTATGTTGGAAACCCTGTGAGTCTTTACCCTGGGGCCACCCACCCAGTTCTGAAACTGGATCAGCCCTTAAGAGGAGGTCACTGTCTTTTAAAAATATATACCTTATTGTCATTTTGCGGAAAGATTATAGAGCAGACTGGTTTTTCATTCAAAAATTCATACACATTTTGTTTGGTGACTGTCACCTCCTCAGTGTGGTGACTGTCTTCCCGTTTCCTCCTTGGGCTCCCCAATTCCATCCACCTGTCTCCTCAGCCGTTTCCTGCCTGCTGAGCATTGCTTTTGGGCAAAGGCTGCCCTTTTGTCTTGCACGATTGGTGGTTCTGTGGAACACGTTCCCGCACGGCTGTGACTGCCTACGTTACAGGCCTGCCTGTCGTCTGGCTAAGAGGTGATCTCTACGGGTGGTCCCCTTCCAGGCTCACAGTGCCTGCGGGGTCCACAGTCTGTCTGACTAAGTCTGGTGTTTTTAGTTTTTTTTAAACAGCTTTTTATTGTGGATTAGGTGAAGGTACAGAGCGGGTCCTAGTTTTGCTTTCTGCAATTCATACACATTTTGGTAGAAATACTATAGGTATCTCAAAACTACAAGTAGTTTTACTTTTTTTATGTGGATTTTAGAGAAGGTTACAATTCCTTTCGCTCAACATCAGAAAGAATCTGGGGGAGAGGGGGTCCCACCGCGGCATAGACAGGAGTTCGGCCATTAGCCAAGAGGTGGGAGAGACAAGTCCACCCAGGGGCACCGCAGAAGAAAGGCCTGGCCATCTCCTTTCTAAAGTTAGCCAGGAACAGCTGGTGGAGCACGTTCCACTCCAACACAGGGGCCATCTTCAGTCCCAGGTGACTCCGTAGCAACTGCTTTTGTTTTCTTTAGCTCTGGCCAAAGAGAACCACATTATTGAAAGTATCGTGTGTTGTGTGTCTTTGGTCGGGTTTCAGGTGGCCATTTGTAGGTGCATCTGAGAAAATCAAGGTTCCTGAATCCTGAGAGCACATTAGAAAACCCTCGTGGGAGGCCCCCCACCCTCCTGATTGCCCGGACCTTTGTCTCCTAGGTGCTGGGCAGGACCACATCTGCCTTGTTCACTCTTGTCTCTAGCATCTCTTATAAAGTAGGTGCTTAATAAACATTTGCTGACAGTAGATTAATGCCTTCGGTGTCCGCCCTCCATGCTCTCTCTTCATTTCAAGCCTGGGGACCGAGCCAGAATTCCACCCACAGGAACTGAGTTGGGCCAGCGAGTCAGCAGGCTCTCTGAGAAGCAGGGTGGGTTGTGTTTCTTTGTGACCTTCAGTGCTCACCTGTGTGTCTTGGTTCGGTGTCCTCTCTGCAGGTAGTGGACACGTCGAAAGGCATCTCGGACGTGCCCGAGTGGTTCAGAGGCAGCCGCCTGAACTACGCCGAGAACCTCCTGCAACACAAAGACAACGACCGGGTCGCCCTGTACGTTGCAAGTGAGTCCTGACGGCGGCGGCCTGGGCTTTCTTGGGCTCCGGTCCTAGCTGCAACGCCACGTGTTCCCCAGGGCTCTGGAGGACCCAGAACTGTCACTAGGTGATACTTACGTAGTACCTTGGCCCGTTTCTGACGCAGTTAGACACCCACTGACTTCCTAAAAGAGTTAACGCACTCTTCCATGATGAGCTTCTCAACCACTGTCCTCGTGCGGCCACCACTGCTCTGACGCTGAGCAGGTTTCCGCAGAGCTTCCAGACCGCGGTGGGCTGGGAAGAAAGGCCGGCCCGGCTGCTTGCGAAATGCAGCCCGTCAAAGGCGCATGGCTCTCAGTGGCCTGGTATCCCCGTGTGTGGGGTAATGACTCGTTCACTGGCCTGCAATGACTGCCACATTTCAGAGAGCACTTTGAGGCTTAGCGACAAAGGCAGCGGAAGGCACAGAGCGTCCCCCTCGAGCCCCTTTCCCATCGACGACAATCTGCCCTCTTACTCACCAAACGGATGGACCCAACAGTTGATACTGTCTTACTGAAGTCCACTGTGCGCATTGGGATGATTCTTGGTGGTGTAGTCTTATAGGTTTTGACAAAGGTGTAATTTTAATCATTTTATTGGGGACTCATACAACTCTTATCACAATCCGTACATACGTCAGTTGTATAAAGCACATTTGTACATTCATTGCCCTCATCATTCTCAAAACATTTGCTCTCCACTTAAGCCCTTGTCATCAGCTCATTTTTTTCTCCTCCATCCCTGCTCCCCCCTCCCTCCTGAACCCTTGATAATTTATAAATTATTGTTTTGTCATATCTTACACTGCCCGCCGTCTCCCTTCACTCACTTTTCTGTTGTCCATCCCCCAGGGAGGGGGTTATATGTAGATCCCTCTTTCCCTCCCTCCACCCTCCCGGTATCGCCACTCTCACCACTAGTGAGGGATCATCTGTCCTGGATTCCCTGTGTTTCCAGTTCCTATCTGTCTAGGCAGATTTGTAAGGTAGAATTGGGATCATGATAGTTGGGGCGAGGGGGAGGAGGAAGCATTTAGGAACTAGAGGAAAATTGTATGTTTCATAGTTGCTGCACTGCACTGTGATTGGCTTGTCTCCTCTCTGCGACCCTTCTATAAGGGGATGTCCAGTAGCCTACAGATGGGCTTTGGGTCCCCACTCTGCACTTCCCCTCATTCACAATGATATAATGATTTTTTGTTCTTTGATGCCTGATAACTGATCCCTTTGGTACCTTGTGATCACACAGGCTGATGTACTTCTTCCATGTGGGCTTTGTTGCTTCTCACCTAGATGGCCACTTGTTTACCTTCAAGCCTTTAAGACCCCAGACGCTATATCTTTTGATAGCTCGGCACCATCAGCTTTCTTCACCACATTTGTTTATGGCCCTATTTGTCTTCAGCGATTGTATCAGTGGGGTGAGCACACAATGATAGGATTTTTTGTTCTTTGATGCCTGATAACTGATCCCTTTGGTACCTTGTGATCACACAGGCTGATGTACTTCTTCCATGTGGGCTTTGTTTCTTCTCAGCTAGATGGCTGCTTGTTTACCTCTGTTTCTGCCAAGAAAGTATCATGCAAGACAACTTCTACAAATGCCTTGCACTGCACTTGCGTGTCCCTCACCCCTGGTAGCCACCACTGTGTCCACGGTCTCCATAGTTTGACCTTTCCAGACTGTCTTTGACTTGGAACGAGACCACAGTATGTAGCCTTTTCAGCTGGGCTTTCAGCACACACAGTACGCACTTATGTTTCCTGTGTATCTTTTTGTAGCTCCTAAACTCATCTATTGACTTTATTATCTCTAGGGAGGGGCTCTATATGGTCTATGTTTGATAGGAGAAATTGACACACCAGTATTAATTAGCTCCTTCAGGGTTCGAGTCTCTGGTGGTGTGCGTGGTGCTAACTGCAGGGCTGGTGGTTTGAGTCCACTCCCAGGGCTGCTGGTAGGAAGGCTTAGCAGCCCACTGCAATAGATTGGCCCTTGAAAGTCCTGCGGACCCCAGCTGCATTGGATGCCCTGTGGTCGCCAGGACTTGGGGTGGTCTAGTTTTCAAGGCATCAGGCAGTTGTTTCTGAGCCTTTATGGGATTCGGCAGCCTTGTCTTGCTCCCACTGAGGAACAGCTAGTGGTTTCAAAGTGCTGATCTTGCAGATTGCAGCCCAGTGCAGAGCAATTCAAGATTGCATCCGTGTCGTGGTGTAGATGGTCACTTCCTCCTTTCTGTGGTCCTCTGACATGCCGTGGTATGGCTGTCACACATCCTGTTCATCCTTCGGCGCCTCCTGGGCTGGGCCTTCCCAGGCACCGCCACCCTGCTATGCTTGTTGCCAGCTGGAGCTTGCCCAGACACAGCGGGATGCCTTCCCGCACGGTGGTGAAAGCCCAGCTCTTCTGGAGGAGGCTCAGGTAGGCTTGTGGTTCGCTGTCAGTTTCCCACTTTCCGTTCGCTCTGAAATGTCTGAGCCCCTGTCCTCCGTGTGCCCGCACCTCTGTCCTCATCATGCTGGGATCACGTGTAGTCTACTAAGTGGGGATCTCTTGTAAGCAGGGTCCTCAGCGGACTTTCTTTTCTTAAAAAATGTGAATTGGTTGAAAGCTTGCAGAGCAGATCGATTTTCTGTTCATCGGTTCATACACATTTTGTTTTACGTCATTGATTGCAATCTTCACAATGTAACCTGACATTCCATTTCCTCCCTGTGTTTCTTCCTATGCTGAACCCTTCTGAGCTTTGTCTTGGGTAAATGCTGCCCTTTTGAGTGCATGTGATTGAGTGTTCTAAGGTGTGCACGCCTCCCTAGTATCATTGTCCCCCTTAGAGGCTTGTCTGTTGTTTGGCTGAAAATTGAATCCTGGGTGATGAGTTCACTTCAGACTTGAAGAGGGGCGAAGGCCCTTAGCTTGGGGGTTCCACTAGTCCCTGTCTGTCAAGTGAACCTGGTCTTTCTGAAAATGATTTTGAGTATTGTCCTACAGTATCCTCCCCCTCTCTCAGCACCTTCTCCTGGGAGCTCTGTCAGAGCTGTTGGTAGTGGTAGCTGGGCCCCACCTGAGACTCTGCCCTCAGGCTTCTGGAGACTGGCGTTCATGTGGCTCATTAGGCCATGGCCTAATGTTTCCACGCGTCTCTGATTTTTCAGGCCCCTCTTTCCTTCAGACAAAGAGACCAGTAGTTGCACTTGAGCCTCTCATGAGCTTCTAAGATCCCAGTCACTGTTCGCCACTGTATTGTCTTTGTAGTCTCTTGTGGGGGGAAAAGGCCAGCCCCCCACAACTAATCACGGGTTCAATAGGCGCAGTTGTATGGTTGGGATACATAAAGATTATAATAAAGTCATAGAGAGCATGAGAGATAGAAGAGAGATTGAAATAATGGAGTCAGACACATGTCATGGTAGCATGGTCACCGCAGCCTCACTTGGTGGTCCAGGTGGAGGGAGACCTGAGGGCAGGAGAGAGGGGGAGGGGAAGGAGGACAAGGGGAAAGAGAACAGGGGAGAGAGGACTGAAGAGGAGAGGGGGAACACGAGAGGCCAAGAGGGATCTTTTTTGCTAACCCAGCTCTATATATTTTTGAGGGGAGTGCAAGCCCACTAATTACAGGTGAAGACATACGTCACAGGAAGGGATTGCACTATAGGTTATACAGCAATAAGAGGGGGACAATCTAGGGGTATACACGCAATAGGAAGAGGAGGGATTGGGGCACACGTGACAAGAAGGGCAGATCCTAGATTCAGGATGGCAGCCTAACTTTGGATGTTACTGAGATGGTTTGACCTGTTCTCTGGATCTCCATAGAAACCATTATCAGATCCTTGTAATGCATTCCCTCTTTCCAACCCACTCTCCCTCTACCCTTCCAGTATTGCCACTCACACCACTGGTCCTGAAGGGATCTGGGGGACGGACAACAGAAAAGTGGGTGAAGGGAGACGTTGGACAGGGCAAGATATGACAAAATAATCATTTATAAATTATCAAGGGCTCATGAGGGAGGGGGGAGCGGGGAGAGAGGGGGAAAAATGAGCTAATGCTGGGGGCTTAAGTGGAGAGGAAATGTTTTGAGAATGATGAGGGCAATGAATGTTCAAATGTGCTTTACAAAATGGATGTATGTGTGGATTGTGATGAGAGTTGTATGAGCCCCTAATAAAATGATTTAAAAAAAGAAGCAACCATTATCAGTAGGGTGTAAACCCACAGGGAGCAGGCCCTACCTGTGGTGGACCAGTCAGTAGTCTGGCAACTAACTGCCTTCAGGGAGGATGTCTCTAAAGCAGGCATCCTCAAACTACAGCCCGCGGGGCCACATGCGGCTGCTGAGGACATTTATCCGGCCTGCAAGGTGTTTTTGCCCCGTTTGTTTTTTTTCTTCAAAATAAGATATGTGCAGTGTGCATAGGAATTTGTTCATAGTTTTTTTTAAATTATAGTCCAGCCCTCCCAACGGGTCCAAGGGACAGTGAACTGGCCCTCTGTTTAAAAAGTTTGAGGACCCCTCCTCTAAAGTATCTGACCTCCCACCATATGCTAGCAAATAGCCTCTAATGTTTGACATATCTTTGGGGAGACAAAGCTGGGGAAAAGTCTCTTTATAATCCCACAGTCTCTGTTATGCCAGAGAATCGACTGCGATTGATTTTGGGAACTCAAACATCCCTGCATTTTGATCCCTGTGTGTTTCCCTGATTAGTCCTGTCTCTCCCACCAGTGCAGGTGCTCATGGGGCTCTGCTGGGAGTTGTTTTCTCAGTAGAGTTAATCCTCCGTGTTACCCCGGGCTGAGGGAGCCCAGAGACAAGCAAGTGTCTGCCTTGCAGCCTTTACGCTCCAGCGAGTGGAGCACAAACAGTGCGCATCACTGTGTGCTCACGGTCAGCACATTTTGTCCAGAACAGTGCATGTCAGGTGGCTGTGTATTTTTATAGGGTATTTGTTTGATAAAGGACAGTCCAGATTCACACCAAAGACAAACTGGGAGGCTGATTCACTTTGGAAAAGAGATGCTTCATGTAGGAGAAATGAAAAGCAAGCAGCTGTCAATAACAACATATTCATATCACTTGCCCATCAAGATGGCAGGCAAAGGGTTGAAATCTTTCAGAGGTTCAGAGTTTTTCCTGTGCCTTCAAATAAATTGAGTCTTACTACTAGTCGTAGTTATCTGTTGATAAGAGGTTCTATCCCCAAATAACGGCTTCAAGTAAGAGCAGTTATGACCTCACAGTTCCTGTGGGTGACACGTTGATGTGACTCAGCTGGGTGGGGGTGTGGCGTGGAGCTCTCTGGTGAGGTGGTGGTCAAGACATGGCCAAGATGACCCATCCCCAACGTGGCGTACTCCACGGTGGCTGTTGGCCGGAGGCCTCAGGTCCTTCCCACACGGGCTTCTCCACGGGGCTACTCGGAGGTCCTGCAGACGTGGCCGGTTTCCTCTAGAGTGAGCCGCATGGAAGGTCTGCTCACTTGCATGACGGAGGTTCAGAATGCACCCTTTACCATTCCCACAGTGCTTGCTGGTTCTCCAGGGCATCTGTGTTCAGGGTAGGAGGGACCATGTGGGGGCACGAATACCAGGAGGCAGGGTCACTGGGAGCCACCGTGGACTCTAGCTTCTGTACCGTCATTGACCAGTTTGAACCAATCTGCTAGGTGCAATGTAGCCTCTCACTGTTTCAAAACAAGTTTCTTTTTTTTGAAATCATTTTATTAGGGGCTCATACAACTCTTATCACAATCCATACATCCATCAATTGTGTAAAGCGCATTTGTACATTCATGGCCCTCATCATTCTCAAAACACATTTCTTTTTTTAAACAGTTTTATTCCCATATTGTGCAATTCAGTCGTCATTCACATAAAGAAGAGTTGCACTATCATTACTGAAGCCAATTTTAAAACAATGTCTTTGACCTTACACTCATTATTAGCTTCCTGTTTTCCCAAGGAACCAGGAATCCAGTTACTGTCTCTAGATTTCCCAACCCTGGGCGTTTTAGTGTCCAGTTTCCGTGTTACAGCTGCAGTACTGTAGTTCAGTTCTGTCACCTGTCATGGAGGCACTTTGGTGGCACCAGCGTTGGTTCAGCACTTGGCTGCTAGCTGACAGGTTGGCAGTTTGCACCCACTCACTGGCTCGTGGGAGAAACACCTGCTGATCTCCCATGAAGATTACAGCCCAGAAACCCCTCCGGGGCCACGCTGCTCTGTCACACGGGGTCACTGAGTGGAGGTGCCCAGCACAGCAGCAAGATGCACCTCTGAGGGAACCAGGGTGAAGGGTGCCAGGACCTCTCTGTGCCGTCTCTGTCTCTGTCCCCTTCCCTTGTCGTTATTTCAAAAGGAACCGCTAGTAGCACCACGGAACCCTAAGGGCTCTTCACTCACAGCAACC